CCCAACACCTTCCCTTTTCTGTTCATTCCCCATCCTGGCGGCTTTCATCTCACTTTTAAATTTAGGCCAGCTGCAACTAAGCACATGAGCGCGGGTTACGGTATTGCGGTCCCACAGCGAATTTTGCCGCTCATTTTATAGATAGCACCTATTGCGTACAGCTGGCTACAGTAAACTGCACTCCACTTTCATAGTCCACGATTTTGCGAGCGACCAGTCGCGCGACTGGTCGCGGACCCATCTCGCGAGCGACCGGCGACCGGCGCGATCTGCTCGGGACCGTCCTCGGCGGCACTCATAACTAGCGCGGCCTCCTCGACCGATCGAGCGACCGGTGGCGCGATCAGTCGAGCGACCAGTCGCGCGGACGGTCGGCGGTCGCTCGCGAAATAGGTCCGCGACTGGTCGCGCGTCTGCTTGTGGACTGTGAAAGCAGCCGGTGATGACCAACTGATCAACCCTTTTTTCCGACTCCGACAACGCCGTGGTAATTCGTATAACTCATCCGCCCTAGCGTGCACGTCGTCCACGCCGGTTTTGAGGCCCTATTCGGACGCTTTTCGACCCGACAGCATCCCTTGTGCTATGCTAGGAAATCATGGATACATCCTAGAGAGATCTCTATCGTGACCTGTGCTTTTAAACTTCGGAAATTCAGTTAAGTCAGGTTTTGAATGGCATTACTTGAGTGGCCACGAGAAGCAAGATTAATTGTTTCCAGATGAAAACTTTCTTTCTCAGCACCTTTTTGTTTCATTGCTCTACCTTATTTGTCCGATAATCGTCAAACAGCATTCAATATTAGCGATTTCGTATAAGGCTTGCTGAAAAGTTAAAACTTTCGATTGTCTGACACTAGGTCCAATTTTTGTCTCCTAAATGCTGCCACTAAATATAATAACATTGGGCAGTCAGCCGTGTATCGGTTTGAAAATGGGCATTATCAAGAAAGTGGAGCAGCAGTTGTCGAGAGTTCCATCTAAGAATCATCCAAACGTCCATTCCTATCGGTTTTACAAGTACTGTGGTGATTCTATCTTATAGATGCAGCGACCGAGCTTCACAAACTGCAGGGTACGGTAGGAATTGCTCATAGAAGAATCTTTCAGTGAATAGGAGCCTTCAATAATCAACAGACATGCCATATAGGCTTTCATAATCGACTGTAAAATGACGTTCTTCTGGCATGTCCATTTATGCCGTGTTTATTTCCATACGATTTCTCTGACAGGCACTTATGCAAGCATTAGTGAACGACGAAGTTCGGAGAATATCGGCAGCCCCTGTAGAGCTGACGGGTGCCTAATCAACGTCCCGCTGACTGCATTAATGGACGCCTTAGTAGCAAGCCCTAGCCGACGACGTCTACGAATACGAAACAGCCCTTTAACGTCATCGATTTCGTCTTCGAAGATGGACCCTGGTAAAGCCAATCGCCTGTAACGGCTAGCCCAAGGCGATGATGAAGCCCTTCCAAATGGAATATAACTTTTCTATTGAAAAGGGTACACATGGCTTAAGTTTGAGTTTCAGGAATGGAACAATCGCGATTCGCCGGAACTCTCAGGACAACCGAATTCCCATGAAGTTATGGCCGTGTAGTATTTGTAAGATTTCAGTCTCCCGATTATGGCACCACCCAGCACTATAACCTAGTTCTATCATAAGAAGCTCTCCTGTAACCTCGTCTTTATGCTTATTCAGTACTTCTCGAACACCCCGTTGCTAAATGTGTCTCTTAGCATTCTGGGACACGACTGAATTGGAAGTAGTTAGTAGGAGGCTCTTATCGCAGCTTTGTGAGACCAGATTCACTCCTGTGTATCTGATTCCAAGCAGTTCTAAGAAAGGCATGCCAACTACGGATGGCAGCCTGGATAAGGAANAAGGAAGTCGTGGTTAACTGATCTGTAGAAGAGATCCACTTATTCAAATGTTCTTTCAGTTCCCATGAGAACTTTGGTACATGGCGCATTCCAACGATGGCTCAATTGATTTCTCTTTAGTGATGATACTCCAGTTGAATAGGAACAGTAAACCGATGTTGGGACATGAGAGCACAAGATGAGCCTTGAACCGCTGGGGTATGCATATACCGCATTAAAATAAGGTTTGTTTACATTTGTTTTGTTTGGTATTATCCAATTGCTTCTTCATCCAGCCTCAATTGATGCAAAACTAGGCCTGTATGGGTGCAAAATTTACTGCCAAATTCCCTGCTGAAGTCTTTAGGGAATTTTTTCGAGCTAATCAGTTTTCACAAGCCGTTACTGAAGTTCTATTCCATCGTTCAGATTATTCTGAGCAGTTATGATGCATGGCTTAGCATCACATCAGTGACAATCACTGTTTTTTATTTTAATCCACCCCTGACGCTACATTTCTTCGGAGTGGTGCTCTTCTATCTTGAACGAAAAATGGTTCCGGTTCAGAGTGGGAGTTGAAACTACCGCCGATAGCATAGGAGACGGCGCTTTCAGTCAGTGAGCTAAGCTTGCTGTTGAGAATTGTGAAGCTGGGAAATTTCAATTGTATTAGAGTATCTGAGCGTGATACTCATCAAATAGAATCTCTTTAATACTGTTATCTTCTTTACGTTTACTGTAGTTTCAAGAGTACGAGTCTACAGTAATCTCGGAATGTTTTCAGAAACCCTCGACTCTTCTGTCGCTTTCCACACTATTTACTTCTCAAAATGTCATGCCATTATGGCAATATGATGATCCTGAATCAGGCTTAAAGCAATCCTAACTGGAAATTGATACATCCGTCGTTCTACACGGTGTCGATGAGTGGGACGAGTGAGTGTTCGAATTACATTCGCATTCCCGGGCGGACGATCACATACATACGCACACACACGGACGGACGACAACCGGTGTGTTTATTTGGCCATTTGCCAACGAATCGGATAAGTGCCCAATCTGGCAGCATTTTGTAACGCGATACGTGCAGGTGGGACGAGGCAGGAAGCCGGACTCACGGCTGGGTTGGCTCTGAATAGGCCTAGGCCTGGCCTTAGATGGAAACTGAGAGGATTGAGAGTTTTCTTGAGCGATCGTTGCTGATAACAATAACCTTTATCAGGAAATTGAGGAAGTCGCAAAGCGACAGCCGCCAATATGCCGGAACGGTCGCCGACCAATCAGCGTCGAGGAAGTCTGTGCCTTGCTCCGCCTCCGTCGGCCATCTATTTGGCCAGAATTGAGAGGCGGTACCGGCAAAAAGCTCCCACAACCAGCCCGTCGCTAAGCGCAGTGTTCATCAACCACAGCTAAACGATCTGTGTAGTGGTTCGTAGGCTGTGAACAAGCGCGTACTCTTTCTAAAGGACCACCACCCTACAGTATCCCTCCCTGTTGTCGAGGATGTCCTTGAATTTCTCCATCGACCGACTTGTGGACACGGCAAAGAGCGAGCCATCACCGTCACAGGAGGAGCGAACTGCTCCGATTGCACAGACTCTTTCGTATTTCGATGTTTTATTACCTCATGTACAGGTTCGTTCTGAGAGGCCCTACTTCATCGGTCCGTCCGCCTCAATCCTCCAGTCCATTTCTTTCAGATGGCGTCCGCAAATCCATTCCTAGCCGGATTGTCCGATACACCACAAAGCCACAGTCGCCTTTGGTCACAGCAATGGGTCGAACTGCTTCAGCAGGCTAATTCTTCTCAATTCGGTATGTATTAACGTTTTCAATGAATTCATTTGGATGAATCAGTGCCGTTTTGGAATGCATGGCAGCGGCCGATTAATTAATAGCCTCGTTAATTATAATAATGTAAACCATTTAATGTGGTATAATTTTGACTGTTTACAGTTGAATTTTACATTTCTGACTTTACTATGTGAAATGCTCGATTCGATCACTTCTTTTGGCCTTAAAAAGGTAAACTAATCATTCGCGGCGGAACCAGCTAATTAGTCGATTCCATCTCCATTTAAATTTGTGGGTATAACTTTGTACTGCGGAGCAGCAAACTGCCATTATCAATTTGATAAAAAGCGCCTATTTTTTGTTTTTTAGGTAAGTTAAGGTCAAACTTCCTTCTGAAGTCTCCAATGAATTTCTAAATTTAATTGATTTCTAGAGGCTATCGTTGGAGCCTCATTCAATTGTTCGGGTTTTTTGAGCAGGATAGACATGCATGGCTCATCATGGGATCAATGTATATGACTGTCTGCATTTTCTTGTAATCCTTTCTCAGAGTACATCTCATTGGCCAACCTTTCAACACCTCCTACATCACTATTCAATCAAAAAGTGTCACCAGTCGATAATCATCCGAATCCAATATTCAGCTCATCTTGAGACATTGTTCAGGGACTATACCGAAATTACGGTACTTTAAGGTATGTTCTAGGAAATTTTTGGAGGTCGAACTTTCAAAAGCCAAGGAAAAAAATCACGAGCTCAGAATTCCTCGCAACGTTAAACTTTCGGTTCAAAATGATGAATTTGAGGTCCAAATACTTCGACTAACTAGCAGTTTCAACAAAATTCTCGAAAACTTTAATCGAAATCTTATTTAGGTGAAAATCGATCTTTCCTGGCTCCCTAACCTTTCATTGTAGGCCCCTAGTAGCTTCTCGTTTATTCTTCATTGACTCATCCCGAAATGTAATCTGTCTTACTCTGTTCACATTGAAAGGTGTCATTATGTATTCTGGTAGCAGATGAGCTCACAAATTTGGCTTTTCTTTCGAAGCTTCGAACTCATCGAGGTGTGTTAGACGCTTTCATCTTCAGTACATCCCTTATCCCACGATGATCGCTGTTATAATAGCTGCCGTAGTTACTTTTTTTTCTTTTTCGCTTTTCCGCTTTTCCGTAGCTTTTTTTATTACACCATCTTTGTTAAGTTGAGATACCGTGATCTTCTTGAATACCACACTGGTTCCAGCAATAATTCCGTCACTTCTTTAAGTTGGATATTTTCCATAATTTCCTTTCACATGCCATCTTGAGTGTTATTTTTCGAATTTTCTTTTATGCCTCTCTCATCTTCCGCAGAGATTTGACTCTCTTTTGTCTTCTGAAAAAAAATGTTTTTTTTTTAGCTTTTTCTGAAAAAAAAAGAGTTCTATGTACAAGCAGTAGCAAAGATTGTCTTCTTGATCTGATTGAGTAGAGTGCCCAGTTTTGCATGGAGGAGTTTGAATTCTGTATGCTCTCTCGGCGCCTTTTATGATGTGGCAATTTAGACCACGCCCCCTTGCAGCCTTTATCCCACTTTTCAGAGGAATACTTTACTTCCGAGGACACTATCACTGAAATACTAATTTGAAAGTGTTTTATATACGTATTTTTCGCATTGTCACTAGCACCACTACCAACATCACGTGTACTTCTTGATCCATGGAATGAACAACTTCATTTGAGATCAACTCTGAATTAATTGACAATATTTCTCGATCTGAAGTGCTACTGTAGCACTCCTGATTTTTGAACTGCCCAATTTGCGAGTTACGTTTTTCCTAATAAGGATTCCCAGGGAATCCGAGATGTAGGCGTGAAACTCAGAGCAGATGCCTTTCATGATCACCAACATCGGTGCTTTGCATGTGATTCTGTCATTTTTGATTCGAAAATTATAAAGTGCTAGATGTCGATCATTCCGTTTGGAATGCACTTTGCTCTTGCCTTGGTCTGTAATTCGGGGGAGGACACCTGTTTGCGTGCCTGACCTGTACTAATGGGATGTTAAATCAGTGTTTTCCTAAACCCATACCAGTAAGGTGCTATATGATTCATCAGGGAGGTATAGCAACTGGGAGGTTGAGGAAGGAAACAAATTAGGAATTTTGGCACAACTCTTCCTTCGCGGGACAGTGTAATGCCGCTGGTTACTGCACTACCTCCACCCTTACTAGGACAGTGGTTTTTCGTGAGTTTTACTAATATGTACTCTAGTTGTTAAATAAATAAGTTGGATATAATGAACGAAACGTCGTCGGAGCATGAAGCTTACCCTAAGTAGTCGAAACTCCTCTTACTAAATGTTCAGCGCCGGTTGTTGTGGGAGGATTTGAGACGAGCTTTTGCTTTCTACATTTTTTTCTCCTGGTACGCTCAACGAGCGAAGTTAGCACAATGAGGAAAGATGAGCATACCGCTTTAGAACGATCAGATCGAGATTTCCACTTCTTAAGAGCCGAAATAGTGCCCTTCAAAATCAAAGAGAAAGGTTTAA